TAAGCATGATTTTCAGAAAATATAATCATATATATGTCATTTAATGAAATTATAAATTTCTATAGAAATAGTTGCTATTTAGTAAATAAAACAATGCGTACAACCGACGCAAAAATTAATTTAAAGCACTTGGCCGACTTTTAGGCGGATAGAGCAAGAAGTCTTCATGTAAAGTATGTGATAAAAAGTTTGAGTTTTGCAAATTGCACATGCATGGTATCTATGTATATTAAACGTTAAAATAGTCAATATGGTGTACGAGCGTCTGTTTCATTGTAAACTCGTTTGTTTATTTAGTTCTGGTGAGGAAATCAATATGAATGTAGAGTTTACTGATATTGACGTATAGTTTGAAAACAATAAAACCAATCCAAGGGAAAAATTGAACAAACTAAACAAATTTTAGAAGATAAGCAGGAATTAACATTGCTGAGCGCCTCATTCTTGATAATGGAATGTCAACGGCTTACACCATCAGGTTACAAGGATATATGGATTAAAAAATTGAATATGTTGTAAAGACGTACGCATCAATTGGTAATTTCCTAGTATTCAATTATTGTTTAGTTATCAATTTATGTTACTTTGAACAAATCATCGAATTAATAAATTAATAATGAATAAATGGAAATATGAAAGAATTAATTGATTGTCAATGAAAGGATTGGTTTTAAGATGAATCATGAATATAAAGATTATTAAACTAAGGAAGGTGTCGGAGTCATGAAACATAAATGAAGAGTTAAGTCTCGAATATTGATTATCTCATCTTAGAGCGTGACGATTGGGTTAGTTGTGTTAATTTCATTCTAAACATTGTGATTTTATTTTACTTAAACGTCAACAATAGCTGTAAATAAAAAATTTTACTATTGACCTTGTACCCTGTACACCCCTGCTCTATATTTCCTAATGCAAAGGTAAAAGAAATCTTTATGAACTGAAGAACAAAGGAGGAAGATTGGTTTTCGAGTTTCCAAGATTAAACAAATTGGAAGAAAGCAGAGAATCATTTTTTAGAAGAGAACAAAAGAGTAAAAAAGGTTAAAAGTAAAAAGCAAAAGAATGTTTAAAATGTTTGGGAAAATGTCTTTTAGAATGTAAATTATATTTTAACATACAACCTCCATATTATACTTTGCTGGTCTGGATGTTTGTTTGTTTATAACCGATATACGTCAATTGGCTAAACCGATCAGGCCCAAATTTTGTGTGGGACCTCACATGACCCAATGAAAGGTTTATGGAACATCAAAATTGGAAAAAATAGTTGGATTTTTGTTTGAAAATGCACCAATTCGAAATAAAAAATCTGCCAAAATTTGAAAATTATTTTAAAATGGCAACTTTCAGAGCAACCAACAGTTAAAAAATTAATTATTTACAGGAAGCGCCCTAAAATAATAATATAAATTGATGTGTAGCGTTCTATAGATATGCATACAACCACCAATGGATTTCAGTCTTTACCACAAACTCTGATTACTAATCCTTATATCTTTGCAACCAAATGTCGTAGACCTTAGACATTTCAAACTATGAATTATGTTTGTTCAAATAATTTAAGTTTAAAATTTCATAGGTAACATTAGGTTGAAAAGATTTGGAATTTTGAGTTTGTGGCAAAGGCTTAATTCCTTTGCATGTAGCATGATAGATATACACAACCACCAAATTGTACTTGCCATTCGATCAAAAACTTTGCTTAAATATCAAAAGTGTCAAAACAAAGTTAGTTCCATAAAAAGCGTTTAGGAAACCTAAAATTATGAAAGAAAATGCGTCAAAAAAATATCTTCTTATGTAAAATATTGCTATTTTTAAGCGGGAAATAATGGGTTTTATTAAAAAAACATTTTGTAACAGAAAATATTTCAATCGGGTCAGTTTGGTCCTTATCCCAGCAATCTGTGATTTTTAATCACAATTTGACCAACTAAACTTTTTTTGCCTTTTCTCTTTGATGCTTTTAATGAAAAATTATTAAAAGGAAACTTTTAAACTTTAAAGATTGTTGAATTATAGACCAACATGCGATTAAATTCAAATTGAAGAAACAGACTGTATCAGGGGCGGATACAGCTCTTTGAAAAAGGGGGGTTTTTGTCAAAGCACCTTAAAGTATATTCTGGAAAACAGATTCAGTAAACTTTGAAGATAGTCTCTAAGATGTACTTGACTCCCCACTTTTTTCAAAAGGGGGTGGGGGTCTCCACCGACCCCTTGACAACCCCTCTGCATATCCGCGCCATAGACCGCACATTAAGCCCTGGGTGGGGTATGCTATTGATATATATATACTTCCTGAACTCTACAATACTAAATCAAAAAAGTTCTATGACTGCCAAATATGCTTTAAAAATCGCTGATATATTCAACAAAAAAATAACTTTTTGGCAACCAACGTTAGATGGCTGCCAAATAAGTGATTTGTTTGTTGTATATCAGCGATTCTTTGTGATATATAATCGACTTTTTGTCGCTTGTTTGGCAATTCAACTTTTGCTGCCGAATAAGCGATTTTTTGGGGATTTTGAAAATTAAAGTGTATGCGGTATTTTGCGGTCAATCACATCGAGAATTATTTTTTAATAATCTAATTTAACACACATATTTTAACTAAAAAAGATTATAAAAAACCTTGAGAGAACCTTGAATATAAAGGGAGTTTTCACTGATTTGAAAACACCCATGAGTTACTCCAATTTTCAGAATTTGGCTGACAACTAATTTTAACTTTCAGCTCAAGGATGCCACTCAATTGAACATATTCTCTGTCAATTATGATTTTTTTAGCATAGTACAGTTTAAAAGTAAGAGTTAAACTGGCAAGCCTACGCTGGTGTTATTCATGATTAAAAACGCTGGGTACTATTTTAACTAAATCAATTAATAAACAACTTCTCAGAAATTAAGGAAAAACTCCAACGTAAAAAAAGTTTGTTAAAACAACTAGAAAACTACTATTTTATAAAGAGACCTGTCACCTTTGATCTTACAAACACATTTTACATTCATATGAGCACACATCTAAGAAAAACATTTTCAATCAAACTTTTAGAGCAAAGTTTTTTTCTCTCACAAGTTTGTTCCCCTCAGGTTCATTCAGGAACCACAGGGAGTCCCAAAATATTCAATCGCAAACAAAAAATCAAGTTTTCACTAATTTTTACTTTTTAACATTAAAAAAAGAGAAAAATGTGGGAATGACTGTGGATGGATTCATATTCGTTAAACTGCGATTTAAAATTTTATGACAAGTTTTTTCTTTCCCTATATATACAACCAGCTGATTTTAGGGTGGCCAATTTTGGACACAAATAACATCAATATTGATGTTTTTTGAGACCCTTTGTGTAGACTGAGTGTTCACATCTTAAGTTTTTCTATATCCTATTTAAATGCAGACAGCCTGGAAAGTTGTTTATGAATTTTCAATACTCAGTCGTATTTCTAGTGCCCTAACACATTGGCCTCTGATGTTAACTTACTAAAACTCACTTATACTTTAGGAGCCCTGGACACGCACATTTTAGAACTGGAGCTCTGGGCATGCACATTTTAGAACTGGAGGCCTGGGCATGCACATTTTAGAACTGGGGCCCTGAACGTGCACATTTTAGAACTGGAGCCCTGTACATGCACATTTTAGAACTGAAGTCCTGGACAGCACATTTTAGAACTGGAGGCCTGGGCATGCACATTTTAGAACTGAAGTCCTGGACAGCACATTTTAGAACTGGAGGCCTGGGCATGCACATTTTAGAGCTGGAGCCCTGGACATGCTTATTTTAGAAATGGAGCCGTGGACAGGCACATTTTAGAACTGGAGTCCTGGACATGCACATTTTAGAACTGGAGCCCTGGACATGCATATTTTAGAACTGGAGCCCTGGACATGCACATTTTAGAACTGGAGTCCTGGACATGCATATTTTAGAACTGGAGCCTTGGACATGAACATTTTAGAACTGAAGTCCTGGACATGCACATTTTAGAACTGGAGCCCTGAACATGCATATTTTAGAAATGGAGCCGTGGACAGGCACATTTTAGAACTGGAGTCCTGGACATGCACATTTTAGAACTGGAGCCCTGGACTTGCATATTTTAGAACTGGAGCCCTGGACATGCACATTTTAGAACTGGAGTCCTGGACATGCATATTTTAGAACTGGAGCCCTGGAAATGCACATTTTAGAACAGGAGCCCTGGACATGCACATTTTAGAACTGGAGCCCTGGACATGCATATTTTAGAACTAAAGCACTGGACATGCATATTTTAGAACTACTACGAGCTTGTTACTAGTTTCTGTTTTAAAGGAGAACTATTGATAAATGTTTGCTTGATGCACATTTTGGATAACTGTACCTCTCGGATTGGTTGGAAGATGGAGAAAAAATAATTAATGACGACGTTCGTCTGAACAAGCAAATGTATATGACGAGCGGGGAGGGGGGGCAGGTCAGGCTACACACATAACAAAAAACAACAACATTTTTAAAGGTATATTTCTAAATTCTTAACATTTAGACTCTATTAATATAAGATAAGAAATATAAAAAGCTCAAAAACCCAATATTTATGACATACAAATTATGTACGGTGGTAGACAATTATATCAATGTAATGAAGACGACTTTTTATATTAGTTTTAATTGTCAACAAGCTTCTCTCGAATTATAATTTTACAAGTAAAAAAAAACAATTTTCTAATCGACAGCTTCTCTTTGTTTCCATATTTTCGTGTATCCATGCTGTTTAAAGGCTTGATATTAATTAAAAATCTTAATCGCCTACTACCGTATATAAATTAATAATATATTTATTTCACATTTTTATCTTTTCAACCATTTGACGCGTTTATGTTTAATCATGAATAAGCACACTTTCTTTCAAAGGAATTGAGTCTTTGTCACAAACTCTAATTTTCTAATTCCTGTTTCTATGCAACCCAATGTCGTAGACCTTAGATATTTCAAACTATGAGTTATGTTAGATCTAATAATCTCAGTTTGAAATATCAACGGTTTACACCATCAGCTAGCAAATATACAGGGATTCTAAACTGTAAGTTTGTGGCAAAGACTCAATTCCTTTATGTTTTAAAGTTTAAATAATGGTGGTCACGCACAGTGCTTAGATTATACTTGAACTTTTTTCAATGGATGAATGGTGGTCACTAGTCCTATACGGACATCCATTTTCATTCATTCTTGGCAAAGTTTCAAAACACTTTTTGGGTTGGTCGAACTTTTTATCTAACCATCTCAAAAATATAAAACTTTCGATTCTTATTCTTTTTATAATAATATTCACTGTTTTGTCTCTGTAGTTCTTTCAAGGACGAGTTTAATGTTTAAACGGATTCAGGTTTAAGATATCTCTCAGATGGTTCTTGTCTACTCCCCTGAACAGTCTGGACTGAGAACTGCTCCGTGTGTCCGAAGGTTGAGAGTTTAGGTCGAGATGAAACCTTCTTCTCCTCCTGGACGGGTCTGGAGCTCAGCACTTCAACAAGGTTGGATTTAGAAGCTCCAGGTACTGTCTCAGACATGTGTCTCCCTGATGACGTGAGAAGCTCCTGACTGGCTGCTCGCTGGATTTGTGTGCACTGAAACTGGTCGTGAGGTTGCGCGCATCGTTTAGGGAGAGTCTTACTATAGCTGCAGTTATATAGCTCTAGGTCTCTATTTGTCCTTGTCACGTGACCCGAGGATATCAAGGATATTGCTTGTTCTTCCCCGCCGGTAAATCTAGAGTTGCTACCTTGAGAGAACGAATCCGTTTTCGACAAATTGTCCGAGTTATCATACCAGACAGATTCTAGCGGAACCCGTCTCTGGTATCCGGGTTCTGGTATCTTGGTTTGCTGTTGAATCAGGCTATGTTCAGGCTCCTCAGATAGTTTCTTTCTCTCAACATCATTCGTCATACAACAAATTATACTTTTTCGCCGGACCAGAAAACAAACCCAAAACCAGATATTTGCAGAGAGCAGAAGAACTCCGATACACATGATAAACAGGATTGTGCTCTGCGACTGTATAGAGGATTCTCCAACCCTAATCATAGATCCGTTGCTGGGTAGAAGGGATTTACTGGCATTACAAGGGGTTCCTGCTCCAAGCTGTAAACTATCATAGGCCAGGTTGGGTTGAGCTTGATCCTCCTTGGATCCTGGTAGTCCTCTGTACTGCTTCCTAGGAGTAAGGTTCAAATTAATATTCTACTCTGAAACAAGGAAGATTCTTTTCTTGAATTTATGAATGAATAAATTCAAATAAATTCAAAAAAGAAAATCCTTTTAGCTTGAATTTTGTATCTACAATTTGAACACAGAGAATGACAATAGTCTAAGAATAATAATTCTTCCTTCTAGAGCAATTACTTTGAAAAAATACATCTTTTGATCGATAAAGGTCTCTTAAATTTTTTCAAATTACTTTTTTTTGTTTTTTCTTTCCTTATGCTATACAGGAACGTAGCACAACTATAATCAGCACCGTCAAAAATAAAAAAACTGATTTCTACGTCTTATGGGGGGGGGGGGGTTGCGAAAGGCGGAAATATAAAATACTCTGTGAAAATACATCTAATAGAAATATGTTTGTGAAAAGTACAAATCGATTTGACGTGAACAGTCCCATTTAACTAGATAGAGAGATACAATATTTGATGTGAACAGTCCCATTTAACAAAATAGACAGATACAATATTTATCGTTTACAGTCCCATTTAACAAGATAGACAGATACAATAGTTGATGTGACGTGAACAGTCCCATTTAACAAGATAGACAAACACAATATTTGACGTGAACAGTCCCATTAAACTAGATAGACAGATACAATTTTTGATGTGAACCGTCCTATTTAACTAGATAGACAGACACAATATTTGATGTGAACAGTCCTATTTAACTAGATAGACAGACTCAATATTAGATTTGGCCATTCCCATTTAACAAGATAGACAGACACAATATTTGATGTGAACAATCCTATTTAACAAGATAAACAGATACAATATTTGATGTGAACAGTCCCATTTAACTAGATAGACAGACACAATATTTGACGTGAACAGTCCCATTAGACAGATACAATATTTGATGTGAACCGTCCCATTTAACAAGATAGACAGACACAATATTTGACGTGAACAGTCCCATTTAACAAGATAGACAGATACAATATTTGATGTGAACAGTCCTATTTAACAAGATAAACAGATACAATATTTGACGTGAACAGTCCCATTTAACAAGATAGACAGATACAATATTTGATGTGAACCGTCCTATTTAACAAGATAGACAGACACAATATTTGATGTGAACAGTCCCATTTAACTAGATAGACAGAAACTATATTCTTCTTACTAGGATATTCTTAAGAGAAATACTTCAGTATATATTCTTATTTTTCTAGCATTGACGAAAATAAATAATAAATGTATTGAGGATATATTCGGAAAAATAAACAACAACCCCATTATTTTACCAGTATCCCCTAAATATAGAAAACTATCTAAAAACAATGAGTATCTAACTATATTTATCTATATATATGTGTATGCTTTGTAGTAATTAAATTGTGAAACCTCTTTAAACAACATTCAAAATAGAAATCTAAAAAAATCACGCAACCTTGTACCAAAATCATATTAAAATGGATTAGGTTTGATTACTGGTTAAGGCAATTTCATGGAGAATTTCCGCGGCTTGGACATGAAAGGTAACTGAGAGCTGCGGCCGCGCACTGAAGCATATCAAATTATATGCTGACATTTTGGTTTTGGTATGGCCGCTGCAGCCACCAGAATATGTGCTGCGCACACTTTTCAAAAGTATAATGATTTTCAGCATTTCAATGTCAATGGTGTGTGATTTTGCTATTTACATATCAAATGTAAATAATTTTTACATCTTTACTATGGATAAAGAAGTAAAAGCTCCGGGTATGTATCTATACCTGGGATGAAGAAGAGAATGCTCTGGGTATGTATCTATACCTGGGATGAAGAAGAGAATGCTCCGGGTATGTATCTATACCTGGTATGAAGAAGAGAATGCTCCGGGTATGTATCTATACCTGGGATGAAGAAGAGAATGCTCCGGGTATGTATCTATACCTGGTATGAAGAAGAGAATGCTCCGGGTTTGTATCTATACCTGGGATGAAGAAGAGAATTCTCCGGGTATGTATCTGGTACCAGTACAAACGTCGGACCCACAAACGTCGGACGGTACAAACATAAGACTTACAAACGTCGGACAGTACAAACGTCGGACCAGTACAAACGTCGGATCAGTACAAATATCGGACCAGTACAAACGTCAGACTGGTACAAACGTCGGACGAGTACAAACGTCGGACGGGTACATTTATAAGGAAAAACGTCGGACTAAGGAGGACAAAATATATTTGAATTTTCAGATTAAAATGCTTGTAAATTTGCAATTTTCTCTAAAAAAAATTCCCAATTTTTTTTTGTTAAAAATTCCTAATCTCACAAAGTCTGGATACATGGACGAGGAGACTGCTAACTATATTGAGGTCAAGCAGGGGGGACTTGACCTACTTGATTCAAATCAGTTTGAATATAGGGTTACAAAGAAGAAACCCAACAAAACCTATTACCAATGCATTCAAAGGAAAAACAATTCTTTAAAATGACAAGATTATCAGTTTCCTGGGAGAGCATACACATGACAGTGATCTTTTGAAGAAATGAGTACGTGAAATAGAAAAACAAGTAGTTAAAGAAAGCTCTGGAAATAAAGCAATAAGTCCACGAACTGTTCTTGGAAACATCTACAACATCGGGTTGCAAAGATAAAGGGATTAAACTGTATGATCTTGTAGAATTCATAGTTTGAAATTGTTTAATACAATGGTCCATTCAAAATCTACCAAGTCCGACGTTTTTTCTTATAAATGTACCCGTCCGACGTTTAAACTGGTCCGACGTTTGTACTAGTCCGACGTTTGTACTGGTCCGACGTTTGTACTGGTCTGACGTTTGTACTGGTCCGACGTTTGTACTGTCCGACGTTTGTAAGTCTTATGTTTGTACCGTCCGACGTTTGTGGGTCCGACGTTTGTACTGGTCCCATGTATCTATACCAGGGATGAAGAAGTAAATGCTCCGGGTATGTATCTATACCTGGGATGAAGAAGTAAATGCTCCGGGTATGTATCTATACCTAGGATGAAGAAGTAAAGGCTCCGGGTACGTATCAAAACCTTGAATGGAGGAGAGAATGCTACGGGTATGTATCTATACCTGGGATGAAGACGAGAATGCTCCGGGTATCTATCTATACTTGGGATGAAGAAGAGAATGCTTCGGGTATGTATCTATACCTGGAATGAAGAAGAGAATGCTCCGGGTATGTATCTATACCTGGGATAAAGGAAAGAATGCTCTGGGTATGTATCTATACCTGGGATGAAGAAGAGAATGCTCCAGGTATGTATCTATACTTGGAATGAAGAAGAGAATGCTCTGGAAATGTATCTATACTTGGGATGAAGAAGAGAATGCTCCGGGTATTAATCTATACCTGGGATGAAGATGAGAATGCTCCGGGTATGTATCTATACCTGGGATGAAGAAGTAAATGCTCCGGGTACGTATCAAAACCTTGGACGAAGAAAAAATGCTCCGGGTATGTATCTAAACCTTGGATGAAGGAGAGAATGCTCTGGGTATGTATCTATACCTGGGATGAAGAAGAGAATGCTCTGTGTATGTATCTATACCTGGGATGAAGAAGGCTCTGGGTATGTATTTATACCTGGGATGAAGAAGAGAATGCTCTGGGTATATATCTATACCTGGGATGAAGAAGAGAATGCTCTGTGTATGTATCTATACCTGGGATGAAGGAGAGAATGCACTGGGTATGTATTTATACCTGGGATGAAGTAGAAAATGCTCTGGGTATGTATTTATACCTGGGATGAAGAAGAGAAGCTCTGGGTATGTATTTATACCTGGGATGAAGAAGAGAATGCTCTGGGTATGTATCTATACCTGGGATGAAGAAGAGAATGCTCTGGGTGTGTATCTATACCTGGGATGAAGAAGAGAATGCTCTGGATATGTATGATCGGATCCAGATAGATGAAGCTTAGGAATTAGTTTCAACCAGGTCGCCATAGGTCTAGGTCTATAGTGAACCTCACTGGACGGATCCAGATCTAAAACATTAAATTTTAGTTAAACCTTGTAATCTATATTCATCTTTCTCTCTATCTATCCTACCTAGCTCCAAGTAGTCCTGGTTCTGTAAAGAAAACCTTCTCCAGGTGGGTAATCCCATATGTGAGTTGAAGAGATCTCTTATACTGCTAGGACTGTTTGGATCCCTAAATAAAGATTTTGTAATTCCAACTAGAATTTTTTCAAAAAGTAAAAATATCAACTTTTTGGAATTACAGAAAAGACGTACGATATTTGCACAGTTCGAAGGGAACGGATTCAGTTTTGTATCAATATCAAATTTAAAACAATCTACTAATATTTTTAAATTTGTAATTAAAGATCAATACAACAATAATTGTTGATTTAATTGAATGATTTCAATATCTAATATATTGTTTTACTGCCGTTTATATTTTCTAACATCCCGTAGTTTCTTTACTTTACTACTTCTAGACGTACAGCAGTTTTGTTCCCCTTTTCTGGAAACAACTTTTATCGTTTAACTGTGGATTTATAAGCCACCATTTTTTATTGTACTTCATAGAACAACTATTTTTGCGAATTTTTCAGTTTGAATTCATAGATTTTCAACATCTGAAAAGTCGACATTATTTCCCGGCAAAATTGTTCCCTTTCGACCGACCATAAACCTTCCCCGGGGTCATGTAAGTTGCCGCAAAAAAATTAGACACATTCTGTGATTTCAAACAAAATTTTCTGTATTTTCTAAATGCTTTCTGTTAGTTGTATATCACGAATATTAAAAATAAAATTCTAAAATATTAATTTCCCTTAAAAATTGTTATCAGCAATTTTATAATTGTTTATATAAATTTATCATTACTAGACTTAAATATTTCTCAACGATATCGATCAAATTATTAATTCTAATTTTCCTGGCTGGTTTCTAACTTGTTATTTTATTTATTAGGTCACAAATTCTTTATTTAATGGGTTTATGTACAGAAATAACCCCGCAGTTTGAAGGGATACTCCCCCCCCCTTTCCTCCACAGGTTTGAGGTAAAAGACTCAAAACAAATAAATAATATTTTACTTGTTTTTCTGAACATTCTTAAAGGGAGTGTTCGCGAACAATGAAAGGGGGTATATGCTTAATGCAATTAATAAGCGCTTTTGAGCGCTACTAATCTTACTTCTATCTGTTGCGTCTATAAGGAGAAAATTGTTAAAAACGACTTACACCGAAGAACGCAGCGTCCATACAAATTCGGAAAGATGCAACATTCAACTCGGATCGTAAACAAATCAATTTAATTCCAAACAAAACATTCAGATATTAGAAACAGCAGTCATCAATTATTTTTCGACGCATTCGTATATAGTTAATATTTCATAATATTTTTGATTTTTTTTAAAAAATAATTTTCGCTGGTGCTGGACTTTTGAACATTCCTGGAAAATATGAAAATGCCGTCTTCATTATCAAAAATCCTCGAAACAGGAATAAATTTTTTCAAAAGTAACTCTCAGATCATGAAAAATACAAAATATTAATGTTGCATATTTCTGAATCGGATGGACACTACGTTCTTCGGTATTAGTCGTTTTTAACAATTTTCTCCTTATAGATGTAACATCAGATAGAAGTAAGATTAGTAGCGATTAAAAGCGCTTTTTTATCGCATTAAGCCTATACCCCCTTTCATTTTTCGGGAACACTCCCTTTAATACAAATATCAGGATGTAGTGAGAACCAGAATGAGAACGAATGTCGGTTTTGTTTTTCTTCTTCTTATTTCCAATGGTTGATAGTGAGAATTTGCTAAAAGATTGTTCATGTTAAGAACACATGCTTAAAGAGGAAGACGACGATAAATTCCACATTTTTCTGGCTCTCACTGTTATATGGAAAGATATAAACCTTATAAGTCATAAACATGGTTTTGAAGGAAAGATTTTGCATTTAAAGAAAGTAAAGTTACATCTTTAAAATCAAAGTTAGATACAAGACGATTTGGTTCTAAAATATGCATTTTTTAACTCTACTAAGAACATTCCTATGGTTCTCCCAAGTTTCCCAATAAGAATTTATGGGAAATCGGACATGATGGGGTTCCTGAGTTGTAATCAGACATACTAACAAGACAAACAAAGATTACTACTTTATATATATATAGATACCCCCCCCCCCACCTCTTAGTTTTATTCCCACTCATGACTGACGGGGTTAAATGATTTCCAGAGTTTATATTTAATTATTCAAGATTATCTTCAACTTTGTTTTCGAACTAAAATTATAAAGTTGCATTTATATAACGTTTAGATAGGACTCAATCATACGAACTTATATAGAGTAGAAACAGCATTAAATTTAGCTAGGTTACGGGATGCTTCATTCCGTGTGTTGTTGTTATAAGGTTTGGGAAAAAGCCAGGCTTTAAAGTTTATATTTGGGAAGTTTTGACTGTGGAAACTGTGAAATTTGGAAGTTGCTACTTGGAAAATTCAATATTTATGATACCGTCACATGGAAATAGGAATTGAGTCTTTGCCACTAAATAAAATATTCTAATCCAATTTATTTTTTCAACCTGATATTTCAAGCTTAGATAATTCAATCGAAAAGAAGTGATAGTTTGACACATCTAAGATCTACGCCATTGTGTTGCAAAGATATAAGATTATCAATTCCTTTGGATGTATATTTGGAAAGCTGTCATTTTGAAAATTGTGTTCTTGGAAGTTGCACTTATGAAGAACATATTTTGAACATTAGCATTTGATAATATACAGAGAATAATCTATTGTACGTTGAACCTACCCTGAGTGAGCGAAGTTAGACCAGTATGTGAGTATAGTTTGAGAGACTAGAGCTTGTTGAGGAGAGGAGAAGGGTCCAGATATCTCCGGAGCAAAGGGTAAACCAAACACCAAGGAGAGAAAATCTCCGCCCTCCGCCCTCTCAAACTCCTGCAAGATATTAGTGAGGAGGGATACAGTGGTTGACAAATTAAAGTGGAATAAAAAGACGATCTGAAATCAATCTAAAATGTATGAACAGGATGTTCCAATTCGTCTTATATTTTAGAAAATAAATTCCAGGCAACGCTTTAATGTAAATTAGATTGCACAAGCATGAGTTTTTCAAAAAAACGGTTTACCGTCTTAGTAGATTATAGAAAACTAGGTTTTTCAGATAGTTAATAACAATTTTGGCTTTTTACCGATATTTTCGCAAATTCCTCATCTGAAATTGACGACTTTTTATAAATAATAAATGTCGGATTTTTTTCCGAGCATCGATCATCTTTGACGGTCCATAAAACTAGAATTTTGATATTTACTTTTCTTTTTCTTTGAAGGCAGAGAAAACTTTTAAACTTTCTGGTAATGACGTTAGCAAGAGAAAATTTAAATTACGAGACTTGAAGTGGGATCAAACAGATTCTTTTATCTTTAATATGATTCCTCTTTGGGTATATTTCAGGTAGGGTTATTTTTCCTTATTATTCGAGTCTTAAACTATCAGTTTAAGAAATTTAACATATTTAAAAATGTATTTTAATTGTGAACATTTGCTCTTTGTAAACATTGTAAAAGAAAAACAAAATAATCGCGGATTTTATAAAAAAAATTCGTGTTTTTTTTAAACTTAATGAAAATCAAATTTTGTTGGAGGCTAGTTTTTGAAGGTTTGAACATCCATATACCTTCCCTGTGGTCACGTAAGGTTCCTCAAACAATTTGGGCGCGGTCGGTTCAGCAGTTTTGAAGTTTATTGGATACCAACAAACAGACAGACAAGCAAAGTATATATATAGATAATCCTGTTCGTTAACGAATGATCGATTTTTCTTTGTTCAGTCAAAATTGCATTATTCATGAAAAAAACTGAAAGAAACAAATGTGAAATACGCAAGATTTCGTTGATTTTTGTGAATTCATTGAAGCTAACGATTCTAGAATATCTTAAAAATGGTTACACTGCCCGACTCTAATTTTAGGAGAGAAACCTTAGATGATTAAAATTAAGAAATACAAAAGTATATTTCTCAACATTATTAAACAATTTAGTCTGAGAGCAAAAAGAATTAATGGAAATGGAATGAAATAATTACTTTTTAAAAGAAAAAATTAAATTTTGATGAGAACTCTATTTTCTTCTTTTCTTCTATATTTACAGAAATACTAGAAATGTGTACCTTAAGTTTATGTATGTACAGGAAGGCCTGATAACCTGACTCATTAGCCCAGTTCACCGTTTCTACAGCTGGGCTCACGTACAGTTTATCTATAACAGCTGTACGTGCCAACTCTACTCTCCTGCACACAGATTTTATTTTTGTATATTTTAACACAAATATGGTGTTTACGTTTGAGGTAAAAACAAGAAATAAGAACTCCATATTCTTGCTTTGTTATTTTGTTATTTTGTATCTATTAATGAACTAATGAAATATATTACCTGAAGGGACTGCTCCCTGTGAAGTCCGTGTACTCAGTTTCAATGGCAAAGAATATTTCGTTCACATGATAATCATAGCAGTTTCGGGCTAAGTTTCGTAGAATACTAAATATATAAACAAATTATTGGGAGTAGGCGGTATACATCAAAACCCACCACCGATAAAAACTTTCCTTTTTTCTTCCTTTGCTTTGAAAATGTCATAAAATACTGTTTTTTTTTTCTTTCTCAAATACTTTATTAAACAGCAAAACAAACAGAATTTTATAAATTTATAAAATTATAAAGTGGCTTGCTCGCCCTATATATTTTCAGATAAAACTTTTAAGAAATCAGCAAAAATTATGGATTTATGAATTTACAAAGGGACTTGGTCGCCCATTATATTTTTAGCTAAGTAAGTGAACTTGATGATAATATATCCAATGAAAGAAAAACGAAAGAAAAGACTTTAAAAAATCAGCAAAAATTATGGATAAGGGATAAATGCATAAAATACTGTTATTTATAAGTTAAACTATGATTGGTTTCAATGTTAAAGGTTTCAAAGTGAAGAGATGATGAGTTTTATCCCCCCCCAGACCTTACATATCACAAAAAAAGTATTACTAATAAACTAAATCTATTAAGTTGAAAAACTCTGGCTCTTTAACTTATTTGTTGTATATATTAATCATCAATACATCTACACTGTATATCAATGATATATCTATATTGTGAGGTTTGCACTCTAAATACATATAATCCATGTTTAGTTCCGAAACAACATATCATCCAAATATACAAGAAATAATTTAAGATTTAGGGAAAACTATCTTTATAATATTCAAATGTTTTCATTGCAAGTCCAAACTCGTTTTACAGGTTATCTTGATCCAATCAGCATTGATGTATTTTAGAAATCAAAGTTAGGCTTTAAGAAAATATTTTTTAACGTATGAAACATTATTTTATAGTAGAGACCGTGTCTGAGTTCTGCTCCGTTGTGATCTAGAAGCAAAAAAGCCAAACCAAAAAAAAAATAATCCAGCAATCTGAACCTTACCTATTCTTCTCGTGAGTTGAAATCCCATCCCTGAGCTGAACCGAGGAGAAAAGATTTATATCTTCATTCTCCGATACTCCGACAAGTACCTGGAGAAAACTATTTAAATCTAACTTGAACCTAGAAAAAACCCGAACCTAAAGAAAAGTATTCAATATAACCTAAACCTAGAGAAAAGTATTCAAATATAACCTAAACCTAAAGAAAAATATTCAAATATAACCTAAACCTAAGGAAAAGTATTCAAATACTAGGCTTTTACGGCGCTTCGCGCCCATCTTCTATTTAAATTGTGAACATGTTCATTTTGTTTACATTTTAAAACAAAGAAGAAAAAATTTTGCGGATTTTAAAAAAATGTTCGCGGATTTTCAAGAATTTAGATTTTTTTTACGAAATTAAAAACCTTTAACACACATTTTTTTAATTTTTACCATTCATAAACCTTCCCTGTGGTCACGTGATGTCCCACAAAAAAATTTCGGCCCGATCGGTTCAGCCGTTTTGACGTTTATTGGATACAAACAAACAAACAAACAGACAGACAATATACTGTAATAGCCTTGTAGGGCGCTTCGCGCCCATCTTTTAATTTATTTCTGAACATGTTCTCTTTGTGTACATCGTAAAACAAAACAAAAAAAATTAGCGGATTTTCACAAAAAAATTTCGTGGATTTTCAAAATTTTCAAAAATTTAATGAAGATCGAATTTTGATGGAGACAAATATTTGAAATTTTGATCATTCATAAACCTTCCCTGGGGT